TTTCACCCCAAGTGTCCCGTTTCTTTCATGGCCACCCTGGAGAGTGCGTAACAGGCGTACCTTCCGCGCGCAGAATCGGGCATTTCTCAATAACGGTAACGGTGAGCAGGGAAAAAACCCATCGACGAGCGGAATCGAATTGTAAATGGCGGCGAATTTTAGGTTGCCCGCCGCGTGAGCTCTTGGCTGCAAAAAATAAATATTATAAAAAATCTGTTATGAAACGGAACCTCTTTGCTTTTTATTATTAAAAATACGTTAGTTTTGCAATTTATCTGTTAAAAAAAAAATAAATTATAAAATCGCCGCCTCTTCACCACCTCTCTTTAACTTTAAATTATTAATCAGTTGTATAAATTGATAATTTATACTAATTATATAATTATGATAAAATAATTATATAATGTTACAAAACAAAATATTTAATTTATAGTAAAGTAGAGATGTGGCATTTAATTATTAAAATATCACTTAATCATTGATCAACAAGAATTGTGGCATTTTATTTGCCACCCCTGTGTATAAATATTATAAAAAATCCGTTAGGAAACGGAACCTTTGTTTTTAATTATAAAAATACCTTAGTTTTACAATTGATCTATTTAAAAAGATATAAAATCACCACCTCTTTATTTTTAATTATTAAATACATAATAAGGAAACACCACCTCTTTGGCTTTAAATTATTAATCAGTTGTATATATTGATAATTTATACTTTCTCTGTTTAAAAATATAAGACATTTTTAATTAAATCTCACCTTCAATAAAGTAGTTACCTACTTTCAAACTAGCCCTATCTTTTCATATTTATTTTTATCGAACACCCTATAATAAATATAAAGTTATTATCAATAGGAAAACTTTTAAAAAAAGGCAATGATTACACCTCGAAAGACTAAAAATATCTTACATTTTTTAACATCAAACTCCTCAAAAGATGCTTTATATTTTTGAATAGAGGGAATATTAATTATATAATTATAATAAAATAATTATATAATATTACAAAACAAAATATTTAATTTATAATAAAGTAAAGATGTGGCATTTAATTATTGAAATATCACTTAATTATTGATCAACAAGAATTTATGATATTTCATTTAAAAAATGCCACCCCTGTGTTTTTACTAAAATTGTAAATAGAAAATAATTTTTAAATTGTGGCATTTGATGTAGGAGATACCACCTATCTACTCTAGCTTTAATGTTTGTGGTGTTTCATTTTTTTATTACTACAAAATACATGTTACTAAATTTTATTTCTGTAGTAATGTGGGTAATTAATGGATCACAATGGTTTGCAACAACACGAATAAATAATTAAAAATATACTATAGTTGTTTTACAAATCTTCATATACTACAATTTATAAATTAACTTTTGAGATTTATACATTTTTTAGAAATTTATAACTTAACTAATTTATTTGTAATTTATAAATCAATGTGTTTTTTATTTTACTTTAGTTATAAATTTTTGAAGGGGAACTTGTAAATCTTGGAGGAAGACTTATAAATGATCACATTATTTTATATACTTAATTGATATTAATTTTTCTTATGAGGTATTAATTTGTAATTTTCTAATTCTTTTTCTATAATTTTGTAGATCAATTAAAGATCCAATGTTGAAGGAAAAAATTATAGCATGTAAGTTTAGGATACCAGATGATTTTGAGCAAACAGATGAGAGGAAAAAAATGTCCTTTAATCCTTATTATTATAGAGTAGTTTTAAAGAGAATATGGTTTGCAAAAGAAAACGGAAGAAAATTTGCTAGAAAATGATGTTATGAGAGTAAATGGTAGAATATTCTTATATATTCCTTTAATTTTTCCCGAATATATTATTAAAATATTATTAAACAATGTAAATAAGAATGCAACATAACTCATACAAATGCAATAAATCCTCTGATCGCATGATTAATTCATACAATATATCATTAAATATTTTTAAACAACGAAGATAAGAATGCACCGATGACAGAACTAATACAAGTGCAATGAATAATCTGATAACATTATTAACTTTCCAATTCAATGATAGCACAGTGGAAATGTACGGAGGAAATGAAATGAAGCAAATAAGATACAGAAAATTTTTATAATTATATTTTCAGCAAAAGGAGATCCTTCATGTTGTCACTATACAACTCAAGTCAATGCAACTAAGGATTAGACAATCGTTACGCGTTCCATAGGGGAGGCAAAGTCGGTGGAAAGTTGAAAAATGAATTTTCGGGGTCGTCAGATTGTGATTAAATATTCTTAAACGGTGGAGATGAGAAGTTACTTGTACAAGTCCTGCTGTATTTTAGTTTGAAATAAATTGATAAACAACTATAAAGGGGAAAGAATTAAAATTTTCTTGGGAGGCTGGATTAAAAATTCCCTTAAACATGACTATTTACAGAGAGAGAGAGAGAGATATATATATATATATATATATATATAACATATATAGTTTCTCCATTTAATAATATAAGACATTTTATCAAATTAAAGTGTCATGTTAAAATGTATATGACATCTAGGATCTTTCAAGATACAATTAAAAAGATTTTTTACAAAATACACTTAATTAGGAGGTATATGTAATTAATGATATTTTCTAATTGAGACACCTATTAAAAAAGAACAAAAATAAAAAAGTGTGTAATTTTATAGACAATTGTGATTCAATTATCAACATTTTATAACACTCAACAGATGGAGTGTATATTAAACGAAAACAGAAAATTTTGGGGAGTGACTCACAAAAAAAAAAAAACCGAAAGAAAAGAAAAGAAAATTTAGGGGAGTGGCTGCCCTTTTTTCACGCGCGTTCCCTCAATTAATATGAACACAGAATTCTTGGTCCTCTCTATGTATATGTTTGTGGAGTAGAAATTAAATTGAGAAAATAAGGAAGAAGAGCGGAAACTGTGTCCAAACTACTCAGTAGACTTGCGTTGAGCTGAGTTTCTTAATGCCTATAAATCTAACTTCAACTTGGGTAAGCAATTACAAGCCTTAACAATTTTCTTTTTTTTTATATTTGCATTTGATTGAGTTACAATGACACAATCGGATGCAGGATGGAGACCCAGATGCTACAAACGAGCAGAGAAATTGGCTCGTAGGTGGTCTGGATCTCCAGACAATCGTTTACCATTTGCGTCCCCGAATGATGAGGTTATGATTTATGAGTTGTATGAGGCTGTTCGCGATGAGAACCAAGATGTAAACGACTTTGTCGGCGTATTGGATAAAGTTTGTGGACAAAAGCAGCTCGACTTGTCCATTATTATTATTATTATTATCATTATTATTGTTTCACAAATCTTGATACACAATTTATAAGTTAACTTTTAAAATTTACATATTCTCTATAAATTTATAACTTAACTATTATATATGTTATTTATAAATAAGCATGCTTTTTACATTAGTTGTAAATTTTTGAAGGGGTGATTGTAAATTTTAAAAGAAGACTTATAAATGATCATATTATTTTAGGGACTTAAGCCATGTTAATTTTTTTAAAGCACTAATTTGTAATTTTGTAGACCATTTTTTATCATTTTTTAATTCAATTAATAATTAAAATTAACTTTATTTATAGTTGGGTGTCTAGAGCATCATTTTTAAATGTAAAAAAGAAAAATTATATTTTGTAAATTTAGAATATCATATACTTTTAAACAAGTAATTGAAGAATAAAAATACTCTTTAATAATTATTATCATTATTTGCACGCATTTTTAAAATGCGTGCAGAGAATATGGTTTACAAAAGAAAAGTAACAGAACCTACTAGAAAATGATGTTGTGAGGGTAAATGGTAGAATATTGTTATATAGTCGTTTCATTTTTCCCGAATATATCATTAAATATTTTGAAACAACGAAGATAAGAATGCACCAATGGCAGAACTAATACAAATGCAATGAATAATCTGACAGCATTGTTTTTTTTTTTTACCGAAAATCTGAGAGCATTATTAACTTTCCAATTCAATGATAGCACAGTCGAAACGTACGGGGGAAATAAATGCAGCAAATGCGATAAAGAAAACATTTATAATTGCATTTTCAGCCAAAGGGAATCCTTTATGTAGTAGTCACTGTACCACTCAAGTCAATGCAACTAAGGATTAGACAATCTTTACGCGTTCCATGGGGGAGGCAAAGTCGGTGGAAAGTTGAAAACAGAACTTTCGGGGTCGTTAGATTGTGATTAAATAATAAATATTCTTAAACAGTGGAGATGAGAAGTTACTTGTACAAGTCCTACTGTATTTTAGTTGTTTGAAATAAATTGATAAACAACTATAAAGGAGAAAAAAATAAAATTTTCTAGCAGGGAAGCTGGATTAAAAATTCCCATAAACATGACTATTTACACACATACATAACATATATAGTTCCTCCGTTTAATAATATAAGATATTTTATCAAATTAAAGTATCATTAAAAAATATAAAACATTTAGAATCTTTTAAGATACAATCAAAAATATTTTTTTTGCAAAATGCCCTTAAATAGGAGGTATATATAGTTAATGATATTTTATAATTGAGACACCTATTGAAAAAGAATAAACATAAAACGTGTGTAATTTTATAGACAATTATGATTCAATTAAAAATAATTTATAACACTCAACAAATGGAGTGCACATTAAACGAAAACAGAAAATTTAGGGGAGTGATTCACCCAAAAAAAAATAAAGGAAAAAGAAAATTTAGGGAAGTGGCTGCCCTTTTTTTATGCGTGTCCCTCAATTAATATGATCACGGAATTCTTTGTCCACCACTATATATTTGTTTGTGAGTAGAAATTAAATTGAGAAAATAAGGAAGAAGAGCGGAAACTGTCTCCTAATTACTCAGTAGACTTACATTGTCCTGAGTTTCTCAGTGCCTATAAATCTGACTTCAACTTGGGTAAGCAATTACAAGCCTTAACAATATTTTTTGATATATCTGCATTTGATTGAGTTACAATGACAAAAATGGAGGCAAGATGGAGACCCATATGCTACGAAAGAGTAGACAAACTGGTTCGGAGGTGGTCTGGATCTCCAGACAATCGTTTCCCATTTTCGTCCCAGAATGTTGATGTTATGATTTATGAGTTGTATGAGGCTGTTCGCGATGAGAACCAAGATGTGTACAACTTTGTTGGCGTATTGGACGAAGTTTCTGGACGAAAACAGCTCGACTTGTCCATTATTATCGATCAAGTCACACCAGCTGGTGATTCGTTGCTTCATGTTGCTGCTGAATTTGGGAGGAAAGAGATCGCAGAGCTAATAGCTTGTTTCTTTCCAAAGCTCCTGTACAAGGTATTAAGTACACTTGAGGTAGTTTAATTTATCAAAAATAGCTTATACCATCTGATTAGACAGCTCTCAAGTTTTATATATTTAAGTTTTTATCTTCAATATTCCTTCTATGGAAACTTTGGGCTTACACTTTTTTTAGTGTTAAAGAGTCTTCTATTTAGTTCTTCTTCTTCTTCTTCTTCTCTTCTCTCTCTCTCTCTCTCTATTTCTTTAATATTGTTTTCTCATCCTTCATTCATTCCTTCTCTCTCTCTTTCTTTCTTTTTCCGTCATTTTTTTTGTTTTTAATATTTTTTTTGTGCATGATCAAATGGTTCTTACATCATGTTGAATTCCTTTTTTTTTTTTTTAAGTAAGCCAGGGGTAAATAAATTTACTTCACCAAAATAAATTAAATTATTTAATTAGACACGTTCTAAATTTTATATATTCATACTCTATTTTTTAATTTTTAGATGTGAAATTTTTTTACTTCTTTTTATTTATATTACAAGGCAAATATAAAAGGCGACACTCCACTCCATGTTGCTGCTAGAGCCAAGAATAATGAAGTGATGAAGATCATTCTCTTGACGTTTGAAAATATTGATACAAGTCACTTGATAACATCAGAGAACAAGTTTGGGAACACACCTTTGCATGAAGCTGTTCTCAGCAAAAATCTTGATGGTGTGAATATACTATTGAAAGCTCATGACGATGTTGCTCTGGCTCGTTATTGGAACAACACTTATCCTAATAAATCGCCAATGTATTTGGCAGTCCTGACAGGGGATTTGGAAATTCTTCATCGTCTCTTGCAAATTCCATTCCCTTCAAATCTGACCATTTCAAATTGTCGAGGAAACTCTCCTCTTCATGCCGCCATATTAGAACGCAAACCTGGTATGTGTTTTGTGTGCATGTGTTTGTGATATTAATTTGGAAACATTAATCAAATAGTTATTATAGTTTTGACTCAGTTATAATTTACTACTTAAATTTTAATTCGTCCATAAATTTTCAAATAATTTTAATATTTATAGTTTTATTTTTTAAAATATAGGAATCAACGTTTTAAATAGTTAAAATTATAAGGATAGAGTTCCATTGAGTTGAAGTTCAAAGACCGAATTACATCCAAGTACATACTATAAGAACCGATATACAAGTCAAAATTTAAGAACTGAGTTATAATTGGGTCAAAACTACTGTGACCAAATAATTAATTTTCCATGTTAGCTAATATTTTGTGTTCGTATTTTTCACTTTCACTTAGTTATGTATGTTTACTTTTTTTGCGCAGATGTATTGCAAGAGATACTCAACGTAAGAGAAGAGTTAATGTATCTAAGAGATGAAAATGAAGAAACTCCTCTTCATTGTGCTGCACGCGTTGGTTACTTGGAAGGTGTTAGCGTACTGTTAAACAAATCTAATTTGACGGCCTTTCAAAAAAATTCAGAAGGCAATCTTCCAGTTCATCTTGCTTGTGAGGGAGGCCATGTTCGAGTGGTCAAAAAATTGCTTGAAGAAAAGTGTCCTTGGCCTGATGTTAGGCTTTGGCTCAACAATAATGGCCAAAACATGTTTCACATTGCAGCAAGGAATGGAGAAAAAAATGTGGTGAAATACTTGTTGAAAAACCCCAAAATTATTCATGATGAAACCATGAATGAGAAAGATGTAAATGGAGATACCCCACTTCATTTGGCTTCAAGAAACCTTTGTCTTTGGACCCTGCTCCATCTCTCACGAGACAAAAAGATTGATGTGAACCTTGTCAATAATGAAGGTTTCACAGCTCGAGATATTGTTCGGGTGCAATCAAAAATTCCAATGAGACATCAAGAGGTATGATCAATAAGTATTCTTAATTAAGTTTTTCTTTTCTTTACGATTTGTTTTTAAATATTTCAGCATATGCTTGTTTTATATTTACGAAGGTTTGTTTCCTGCTCCCTCCCTCCTACCCTTACATGAGCAGGCTTTGTTTTTTTTTTTTTTCCTTGTCCTTTTACTTTTGTGGTTTTTTCAAAACCCACATAATCACATGACTGCAGGAGGGCACAGGAAAGAATCTACTTCTTATATTTACATAAACTCTTAGACAAGCTATACTATTCAAAGTCCTTGCACTTTTTATATTTTATGGGGAAAATACAATTGTTGGCCTCTACGCTTTTAGCATGTTTTGATTTTAGTTCCTATTATTTTTTGTTTCTAGTCCCTTAAATTTCATCTATTTGTACTGTTAGTTCTTATTGTTACTGACAAAGTTAAATCTATTAATGTATGTGTAACTCTAGTGCTTTTGTTGTTGAGTTAGTAAAATTATGATGAGTTAGACATTGTATGAGAAAAATAGCTATTAATTTTTCTATCTTTCTGTCGTAGTCATCGCTTCTTCTTCCTTTTGAAGTTTCACACATCACATGTTCAAGAATTTTGATTTGTTCGGTAGGCCTAATTATAGAATGGGGCTTTGTCAAAATATGTAAAAAAAAAAAAAAAGTCTAGGTCGACATTAGGTGTAATATAACTAGACTATTGAGTGTAATATTCCCTCTAAGAATTCAAAGTCATGGAAGGGAACAGTTAACGATCTCATGCACATTTAAAAAATTATATATACGTATGAGTGCATGAAACCAGAACCACTCACTACATAATCTCTAGAACACAAACTCCCTTCGCTCGCTCTCTTCTCTCAGTGTGCATTTGTTAGAAAGAACTGAATTCTACCATAACTCCGTTCTAGTGTAGTGACCCATCTAGTGTAGCAAATAGGTTAATCTACTTAAATTATTTAACGTCTTGCTTGTTTCATTTTGTCTTCTACTTATTTTTAATACAACTCATCATATTTTTAACAAGTCACACATGATGAGAAGTAACAAAATTTATATGCACATTAGTCACTGTTAAGTCATTGTGGTCATATTTTAAAATGTAGGGACTAAAATTACATATGAATGAAACTCAAGAGACTAAGAGTAACAAAAAAAAGTATATGGACTAATAACAAAACATGCTAATAATATAGGGACTATCAATTGTATTTTCCTTATTTTATATGATGATACATATATCATGTAAAGATATGATTGTTGGATTCTATTACCATGTAGTTTCTAGCAGATGTAATTTTGAAAAGTGCTGGTGTCCCCTTGAAGACAAATATATTGGGTGTAGGACATGTAGCATCTATCAATAGAGAATGGAACGTGAAGGAAGCAGCCAACACACTCATACTTGTGGCTATACTAATAGCCACAGTTACATTTGCTGCTGGTTTCACAGTTCCAGGTGGCATACATGATCCAGATGATAAAATCCCAAAAGAAAGAGGCAAGGCAGTTTTTGCTTGTCATACATTATTCGACATATTCATGACTTTCAACACAATCGCTATGTATAGTTCCACCTTGGGTTCTATTATTCTTCTATGGGTCCAATTGGGTGATCGTCATTTTGCTGAAGGAGTGTATAGGTTTGCTAAGATTTTTGTTTATGTGGCTCTTTTAACCATGCCCATTGCATTTCTAGCTGCTATATGCTTGACAGTGAGCAATAATCCATTGCTTACATGCATTCTAAGTGTCATTGGATTCATCTTCATTTTCTTCATCTTGTTTGCTCGTATTTTGGGAAGATTCCCACTTGGAATTCGCCTTCCTGTTGTTCGTCAAATTGGAGATCTTTTCATTAGGATTATTCTTATTTTGTTTTATGAAAAGAATGATATTTTGCTTGGTGAAGAAGGTGGAATCAATCAATACCATCCAAATGAGAAAGCTAACAAAGTCATCAATAAAGTTGACCAAGTCAATCCCTTGGATAGAAAAGATCAAAGCAATGAAGTCTGTGAAGTCCGTCTTGTCAATCGATTTTATGCATTTGGGTCCTACCATTTATCGGGCCCATAGCTATGAGTTGGGGTGTCCATCCTTGTCCTTATCCAATGGCGGAGGGAGACCAGCAAGGGTAGTGGCTTTCACAATTTTTTTAAATTTTTTTATGTTATATAGGTGTTGCATACTTCAAGTCTCCCTAAAATTTATAAAAACTTTATAGCATATATGCTTTTTAATTTCGACCTCCCTTATTTTTAAATCTTGGCTCCGCGGTCCTTATCCAGTCAGCTTATGACTCGATTTTTTTGGGCATCACACGACATCACTTTGATGGGTTTGTCATCCTCTTATGTATGGTGACGCCATTTAAGGCATCTTCAATAAGATGATAAATTTGTGAAATATTGTAGGTCACTGTATTGCTTGTAATTATAAATGTGACGACTTGATCTGTGATAGAAAAAATGTCTTATTCATAAGCTTAATGTGACAAGTAAAGTCCTTAATCATGTATTATTGTTATGGAGTGTTACAAGTTATCCTTTATATGTCCTTTCTAGTGATGGTAGGCACATTCAAACTAAGGATTAATTAATTAATTTTCCTCCGCCTCAGCCACCACCAATTTTAGACCTAAAATACGTACACCATTCTCTTGTAACTAATCGGTCTTAATGACTAATGGAACATCTAACACCTTCTACAAGAATTTTAATCAATCTTTAATCATGTCAACTTTATATGGATAAACACTAACATTTTAACGTTGTAGCAACAGTTAATGTTACAACAAGCAAAAAAGTGTTGCCTCTTCCCAGAACAGGCAACATGCACTAAGCAACATGTAATAATATTGCCTATTATCAAATAGGCAACAGTTTTATGCTCGTTGCCTTTTATATTTTACGTAAAGAACAAAAATTTACTTGTTGCTTTTTTTTATTTTGCATGGGGAACAGAAAAGTACTTGTTGCCAAATCATACCCTATTTTTTTCATTCACTAGGCGGGGCTTACTTTTTTTTTTTTATCGGCGCCATTTTTAAGAAATTTTTATGACTTCTATTTATTTTATCCATCGAATAAATTAATTTTATTAAACATATAATTGTTTTATTATTTACATAAAATACAAAGTGCCTTATCGTGATTCTTGTGCTCCTCTTACAGAACCTAGACACCCAAAATTGACTTTCCCTCTTGCCCTTCTCCCTGAAAATTCCTTGCTGTGCCTTGCCGTCGACTCTCCGATCCCCACACCCAAAGCTTTATGAATCGGACGCTGATAATGGGGTTAATAAGCTTCGACACAGATTTAATTATGTCAATTTTATGAATCAATTAATCGAATCATTCAATGATCAATTTATCATTTCTCAATTGAATTGATTAATTCATATTTTCTTTGCTGATTATAGCGAAAATTTGTAATACAAATATCTTTTTGTGCTGATCATATTATTTTGAAATGAATTTTAAATGTCCTAATTATGTTCTAAACAATTAAAATGATTTTTTTTTCAAAAGACTTCATCACAATTTTCTAGCACTGTTTCTAGTTTCCACAGTGAAGTGCGCGAATTTAGAGTTAAATTTTATGATAAAAATAAAATAAAGGGAGGCAAAGGGATAAATGGTGGAACTTTGGGAGTCAAGGTAGGGGTTCAAGAACAATTGAGAAACCTTAAGAATATTTAAAGTATGACTATGACCTCTAACTCATGTTCAATTTTCCTCTCTTTACCACTACAAAAAAACAGTGGATTATTCCATCGCTAATCCCTCACTAATCTATCGTTAATTCCGTCACTAATTTAGCAACGGAATGTTCTATCGCTAAAATTTTATCATTATTCCATCACTAATCCGTCGAAAATAATTTAGCGATGAAATTTACTGATGAAAAATTCTATCACTCATGGTTATGATATCTTATTCCAATTTAGTGATGGAATTTGCGATAGAAAATTCCATCACAAAGCTTTCTGTTATAATTCCATCGCTAATATTGTCACAAATTATTTTTAATTTAGTTTTATTATTTATAATATATAGTTATATATAGTTTATTTAATAATTTACTATTATGCTATAAATAAATAATTTAAAAATTATAATTTAAAATAATTTATTATTTTAAATTATTTGTATATTATTAATAATAATTTAAATTGTATACTTAATTATTCTTATTTAAAAATAAAAATAAAATAAAATAATTATAAAATAAAAATTTTAAATATTACTCCCTTCGGTCCCATTTATAAGTCCAATTTTAGAAGGTGTATTTGGTCTCATTTATAAGTCACGGTGCGTCTTTTTAGGTAATATTTGAGAAGTATTTCTAAAATTACCCTTCATGAAAGAGAAAAAGTAACAGGACATTACTTTTTAGATTTGTTATATAGGAGCATGTTTGAAATTTTACTTACTTTTATTCCTTGTACTTTTATTGTATTGATATTGATGAGGTTGGTAGAAATGACTTATAAATAGGACCGGAGGGAGTATATATTATATAGATACAAATTATAATATAATATATAATGATAACAAAATATTTTTCAATTTAATATTAAATTTATTATCAAAAATAATTTTTTAAATAAAATATAATAGAAATAATTATTATATAAAAATTAATTTTTCCATATTAATGAACAAATATAATGTTAAAAAAATAAGTAAATTTAAATACTATATTTAATAATAATTTAAATAATATATTTATTAATATATGTGTGTGTGGTTAAGTATTATATATTTAATTTATTAACTAAGACTAAAGCTTCCTTTCAACTCAATTGACAACAAGGTAGATACAAAGGCATATGGGAGTATGAGATTTCAAGTTTGAACCTAGCCAAGACACAATTAAAGATAATAATATTTGACATGGCAGTGATAAACGATGTGGCGGTGACGTGGCATTGGTCCACTAGGTAACTAGGACACCGGGTGACATGGCAATGATATTTTGGTCCACCTAATAAATTTGTGACGGAATAAACCCATTGAAAAATTAGCGGAGGAATACATTCTATCACAAAGTCATAATAACTTTATCTTTATTTAGTGATGAAAAATTTATGTCACTGTTTTGTCAAAAATTAGCAACGGAATACAATTTCGTTGCTAATTATGTCACTAATTAGCTATAAAATTGCAAATTCCATTGTTAATGACTTAGTGATGGTGTTTTTACTGACAAAAATATTCTATTGCTAATTCCGTTGCTAATCCGTTTAGCGACAGAATTTTCACTGATTAGCGATAGAATTTTTTATCGCTAATTAGCTGCTTTTTTGTAGTGTTCCATGGTTGATGTGAGAACTTGATGTTCTGGTTTGATGGCTAAATTTCCTGTGTTTATGTAATTAATGGTAAAGTATTACTATACAAGTATTTTAAAGTCTTCAGTGCATGCTTGGCTTTTAAATTTAATTTGATGCATGATGTGACTGTGGATATGCAAACTTTAGGTGATTATAGTGGGGTTTTGGGGTTCACAAAAACCGTTTGGGTTATGAAAGGCAAGATTATGTCCTCTTATACACATTTTAAGTTATGGGAAATATTAATGGGGGTGGATAAATGCAATGAACCAATGTGATGATACTTCCAAACCCTCACAACTACAAAAGTGCTAATATAGGATGCCTCATATAGGAGAGTTGTATGCACAATTATCCAATATAATGAGGCAGAGAAATGGGCACAAGGAACGGGACGGTTGTACAAGGAACTGTCCTATATTATTAACTATATATAGGATGGTTCCTTGAGCAATTTTTCTCTATTTGCTTTTGAAATTTTAAAAATTGATTTTTTTAAATATAAACATAGACGGTTGTATAAGATAACTATTCTCTAATTGTCAACTTAAAGGACGGTTCTCTTATAGAACCATCATATATACTCTTTGAAATTAAAATCCCCAACTCCAATTTTGGAACAAAATTGTAAAGCTCTCCTCACACATAATGTCTTCTTCAAAACCTTAGAACTAGAGCTCAAAACCTCAGCTCCCCCATACCAGCCATTTTAAACAACAAAAACCACTACACAAAAATAGCACATTTCTCTCATAATTATTTTGAGAGAAAACATAAAAAACCAAGAGAAAAGAGATTTCTCTTGAATTTTCTCTCAAAAAAAATTGAGTTAAAATTAGCAAGAAACTTTTTTCCCTGTAAATGTTTTGAAAGAAAAAATTTCTCTCCAAATAATCTAAGATAAAAATGTTTCTCACGGACTAATCTGGAATATCTTGAGAGAAACTTAGGTTACATACTAATATCAAATTTTATTCTCCCCAAAATCTCATTCCATGTGTCGGCCATGTTATGCCATGTCCTCCATCATGTGAGCATCCGCATCATGCAACAGGGTTTGTATTTGGTGCTCATCAGTCCTAGCAGTCCATTTCAATCTAAATTGATTTGGGTCGTTTATTTAAATTAATTTTTAAATATTTTTAATATTATATTTATAGATATAAAAATTTTTAAAATTTTAATAAATCTATTCATTACCGATTTGGCTAGTACAGATTTAATCTAGCAGTCCAATTTAATATTAAAAAATTTTATAATTTGACTATTTAGATAGATTTTGAATAGTTCAGATATAACATAGATGACCTAATTTAATATTAAAAAATTTTTAAATTTTACAAATTAACCATTTAAATGTACTCTAAATAGTTCAAATTTAATATTAATTTTTTTAAATTTTTTATTTTAATAAATATAATATTAAAAATGTTTAAAAATTAATTTAAATGGATGGTAGAAATCATTTTAGGTTGAAATGGAGGGCTGGGCAATCTTGGCCTTGATGAGCACTCGATGCTGATCATAGCGATGAGCATTGAATGTGGATGCCATGCCATGTCACCTAGTTGCCATGTGAGCAACCATTGTTGAATCACGGTTGGTGTAGTCTTGAAATTGTACTGTGGTGGCATGCATCGATTGAAGCTTATGATTATAGTTGAAAATATCAAAGGTGATTTTGAGGACTGAATGTAAACCAGGCGGTTAGGTTGAACCAGGATGGATCCTTTTTGTCAAGCTTTTCTTCTCAAGTTTCTTATATCTCTAGTTTCTATCTTGCATTCTTGTTTGCATTTTTTCTAGGCTGGGAAAAAGTCTAGAAAATTTTTTGAACACTCAATTCACCCTTCTCTTGAGTGTCAGTCTTATCCAATAAAAAGGACTAAGAAAATTACAGAAAAAAAGACCCAAAAACTACAAACAATGACTCAAAAAATTACAAAAAAATGACCAAGAAATATGTAA